ATCAGAACGTATATACCTCTAGTGCGTGTGAAAAGGCATGTTCATTGTGAGGAATTGAGTGGAATCAGAACTCTAGCGTTCTTTCTTGTTTTGTCATGAATAATTAATACGCTTTATTTAAACACAGTTTTACATACAAAATGTAATGCTATGGGTCAAATACGTCGCAGCAACAACAAGTAGCATGCCCTGTAATTAAAGTTAGTGCGCTCTCTGATGTACAGAATGTTTTATGTTTTGAAAGAGGCCTGCCTCCGTTCCTGTATAGTGTTCCAAATAACTTTCAAACCTGCTCTTGGCCAGTAGATAAGAAACCCGTCTGGTCGATGGTTGATGCATGTCATTGTATCCCAATTGCGTGGATCGATGCTCATGATGTCAATCACTGGATTGTCTGGTCCAGCGAGATTGTGTACCGACCGCCGTCATATAGCTGGAATATTGCTGAATGAGGCGTTTAACAGCAAACAAATAAACAAACAAACAAACAAAAGACAAACAAAGCTCACTGATTCCCTGTAAAGTGCGCGACCTATAGTGGGGAGTCCACAACAGAGATAAGGATGAATGTACGTACAGATCACACCATGCCAGACAGCCCTGAAGGAAGTGCATGCGAGAGGCCGGTGTACTCAGTCAGCTATGGTATGCACAGTAAGGATTTGTCAATTGCATGTTGTCAAGTCAGGTAATCACTGGAAATAACTCATGTCGGACTTGGCGTCTCAGCGATGAAAGCAATGGCGATATGTCCGCTGTGATAACGCCGGGATTTGATGGCCAGTGTTTGCTGGAGATAGAGGTGCTTGGCTGCGCGGTAATCAGATATGTATGTTGTGCTCTTTGACGGTTGTCAGATAGTCAGGACATCAAAGGTCGTCGTAATGACTTATTCTGTACGCCATAGTGTTCACCTCTCCGTGGGAAGTAGTGATGTTGTTGTGCGAGTCGTTCTAGGAAATTGCTAAAACAGCATTAGAAGACGTTTCATCTCGTCTGGACCTGTCACATCAAGATCCCTGAATCACGTGACAGTTGATAGTTGACAGTTCATCTGGACCTGTCAAACCAAGAACCGTGCGATCCGACGAGGACGGCATCAGCTGGACGACCGTGAGAATATACACCTCAAGCGGCATCAGCTGGACGACCGTGAGAATATACACCTCAAGCGGCATCAGCTGGACGACCATGAGAATATACACCTCAAGCGGCATCAGCTGGACGATCATGAGAATATACACCTCAAGCGGCATCAGCTGGACGACCATGAGAATATACACCTCAAGCGGCATCAGCTGGACGATCATGAGAATATACACCTCAAGCGGCATCAGCTGGACGACCATAAGAATATACACCTCAAGCGGCATCAGCTGGACGATCATGAGAATATACACCTCAAGCGGCATCAGCTGGACGATCATGAGAATATACACCTCAAGCGCATTTGTACATGTTTTATAAACCTCTAGTGACGTCACTCTATTGTCTCGCCAGGGTCTTCTTTTACCGACTAAACCTCTACTGGTAGTTTACCGGGCATTCCTAGGGTAAGCCCCGGGCTTTCTGCGAGAAATCCCGGGAGATGTTCTACTGAAAGCCTGTTTTTTGTCCCGAAGAATACCCTCTGTATTGAATTACCTTTCTGCATGAAAAAACAACAACAGAACATGGCTCAACTATTTATTGATATTAGATGAATTTGAAATTGAGCGTCACAGTTCGATTTAGTTTGTCTTCAGGTCATTGGTCATCGGCTCTTTTCGGATTAGCTTCTTCACGTGATGGCGAGTTCATTTTTTTCAACATACTAAGTATGTCAGAGACCGTTGCCTTTTGGTTGTCAGAAGTTCTCTTGTAATTTCGAACGGCGTCGCTCCCATGAAACAAATTGTTCAGATTACTGAAAGTATTACACATACAGCATACAAATACACTTAAAAACTATTACAGATTCCAAAAACACCAATATTACAATATATATCATAAATAAAAAAGAGCACCTTACTGGTTTGGAAAAAATATTTCTTTGATATGTTATGACTTTTGCTGAATAAAAGTTTCTTATTACTGCAGGACTAAAATGTTTATCAACCTACCGGTAATTTCGCAAATCATTTGTTCATCAACGTCACCTTGATACAATCGAGAGGCTGCCGTGGCTCTCAAGGAATGGTTTATCTTCATGCCCTCAATACCGGACGTCTTGCAAAGTCTTTTGACGGTAACTTGTATTTCACGCTCGGAGAGCGGATCTCCTAAACGGAATTTAAAGTCATCACTTTCCTTGTCTTCTTCAGCACAGGATGCCAATTCTTTAAAAACTGACTGCGTCAGAAGTATATCGTTGTTGTCTGCGTCCATCCTCTTCAGTGGAATTCATTCGACTGGCTTGAACCACGTGCGCTCATTGTTACAACGGGCCTGAAGCACGTGCGTCACGTGCAGCGCGCGGATGTACTCCCCGCGTGATGCAGTTAAACTCTCAACAGTAAATATCAATGAAGTCATGTTAATACCAATTAGTAAAATTATTTCTAAATCATATTATTTGATCAGTTCATAAGTGAGATCAAAAACTTGCCCTCGGTTTTGATCCTACACATAAGGTGCATGCTGGAGTGTACAGTCACCTGTCTTTGTCCTATGTCATTCAGCAGCTTGGCCAGATTCTTAGTATATTTCTTAGTTCACGAAATATTTTGTGAAATGCCTCTCGGGAATATGTAAATATTAGACAAATAATCTTGTTTTTTAAAATGTTGTCTGTGTATGCCATGTGTGCTGTGGGAGTAGGGTTGGCAGGTCGCTCATCCTGTTTTCTGGATATACACGGGGAGCTTGTAAAGAGTGTATAAAGTTTTCTCAACAGATTCTTTCCAGAGGTAATCCGTAGACCAACTAGACACGATACAGAGTAATACGTTACAGAGTAATACGTTACAGAGTTACACGTTACAGTGTTTCGCGTTACAGTTACACGTTACAGTGTTTCACCTTACAGAGTTATACGTTACAGTGTTTCATCTTACAGAGATACACGTTAGAGTTACAGGTTACAGTGATTCACGTTACAGAGTTAAACGTTACAGCATTTTACCTTACAGAGTTACATGTTACAGTGTTTCACGTTACAGAGTTACACGTTACAGTGTTTCACCTTACGGAGTTATACGTTACAGTGTTTCATCTTACAGAGTTACACGTTAGAGTTACAGGTTACAGTGATTCACGTTACAGAGTTAAACGTTACAGCATTTTACCTTACAGAGTTACACGTTACAGTGTTTCACGTTACAGTTACACGTTACAGTGTTTCACCTTACAGAGTTACACCTTACAGTGTTTCACCTTACAGAGTTACACGCTAGAGTAACACGTTACAGTGATTCACGTTACAGAGTTACATGTTACAGTGTTTCACCTTACAGAGTTTCACGTTACAGTGTTTCACCTTACAGTTACACGTTAGAGTTACACGTTACAGTGATTCACGTTACAGAGTTATACATTACAGTGTTTCACCTTACAGAGTTACACGTTACAGTAACGCGTTACAGTGATTCACGTTATAGTTACATGTTACAGTGTTTCACCTTACAGAGGTACACGTTACAGTGTTTCACGTTACAGAGGTACACATTACAGTGTTTCACCTTACAGAGGTACACGTTACAGTATTTCACGTTGCAGTGTTTTACGTTACAGAGGTACACGTTACAGTGTATCACGTTACAGACTTACACGTTACAGAGGTACACGTTGCAGTGTTTCACGTTACAGTGTTTCACGTTACAGAGGTACACGTTACAGTGTTTCACGTTACAGACTTACACGTTACAGAGGTACAAGTTAGTGTTTCACGTTACAGAGGTACACGTACGCGTTACAGTGTTTCACGTTACAGAGTTTCACATTACAGTGTTTCACGTTACAGACTTACACATTACAGAGTTTCATATTACAGTGTTTCACGTTACAGAGGTACACGTTACAGAGTTTTACGTTACAATTACATGTTACAGTGATTCACCTTACAGAGTTACAAGTTACAGTGATTCACGTTACAGAGTTACGCGTTACAGTGTTTCACCTTACAGAGTTTCACGTTACAGTGTTTGACGTTACCGACTCGAGTCGGAAGCAGGGAGAACCACGTCCCCGTGCTGTGGCAGCCGATGCCCCCAACGGGGTGAGGAGTGGTGTCAAGTATGACAGTAAAGTGAGTGAGTGAGTGAGTATGGTTTTACGTCGTTTTAGCAATATTCCAGAAATATCACGACGGGGACAACAGAAATGGCCGGCTTCGCACGTTGTACCCATGTCGGAAATCGAACCCGGGTCCTCGACGTGACGAGCGAACGCTTTACCCACTTAGCTACCCACCACCCACAGAGTCGCTGAAGCTGGCGAATTAAAGATACCTTCCCTTGTGAAAACAGAACAGTGATCACACGTGTTCTGACACTAGAAGATAATGAAAAAACGACATCATGCAACACAATAACACAAGACACAACTATAACAGTGTCTGCACCTCCCGACACAAGCGTCTGAGGCTTGAGCTTTGTACCACGGAACTAGGAGCTGTGTAAACACGCAATGTCTTCTGCTGATAACCGTCATGTACCACGGAACTAGGAGCTGTGTAAACCCGCAATGTCTTCTGCTGATAACCGTCATGTACCACGGAACTAGGAGCTGTGTAAACCCGCAATGTCTTCTGCTGATAACCGTCATGTACCACGGAACTAGGAGCTGTGTAAACCCGCAATGTCTTCTGCTGATAACCGTCATGTACCACGGAACTAGGAGCTGTGTAAACCCGCAATGTCTTCTGCTGATAACCGTCATATACCACGGCACTAGGAGCTGTGTAAACCCGCAATGTCTTCTGATAACCGCTGGCGGCCTGTTGTGAATAGCAATGACCACGCACACTCTGCCCGATGTTAAGCTGCGCATTAAACAGTCATTCACTCCGGCAACCTGTGCGACTATAGGCTACTACGGCAGCACTGTCACACTTGGTATTGGCGAACGCTTGCAGAGGGTTGTGGTGAAAATCAATGCAGCGTTCGCTGTGACGAGGCGGTCAGGATTATCCCTACGTCTGTAGATGCGCGTGTGAAGGCTGTAGGGGCTGCAGAGTAGGGGGATGGCGGAGTACCAGGGGGAACCAGGGAGTCTCGCGAGGGGCAGCCCAGTCAAACAAATGTCAAACTTAAACATAAGTCCTCGCCCCAAGAAAAGGGCAACCTCTCTGAAGAAACCTAAAAGACGATTTTTAGAAAATGTTGAATTAGAAGAAATGAGACCCAGGACGAGCAGCTTGCCATCACGAAATGACTTAAAGAAGCCAGTGCAGTATCTGTCTCCATACAGCGAAAGTGCGGAGTATGACAGTGTGTATACTCTGAGGTCTTTTGTGACAACTTCTAAAGGGCGTGTTGTAAACAGAGGGGACTCGCTCCGGTCAAGGAGTACTAACAGTGTGCTGAGTTCTGGCAGCGGGAGTATGACAGAGTTGACCCCCCTCTCCCGGACGTCCAGTTCGCTGTCTCAGAGCAGCGTGGCCAACAGCACCGGGTCAGCGTTCGGGATTAACCCTTTCAAAGTTTTAGTTGTTGGAACTATGGGCGTGGGAAAAACGTCCATCGCTCGCCAGTTCACGACGTCTGACTACCTGGGAGATCTAGACATTAGCATAGGTAAGTACATATAAACTGTTCTCACACTGCACTACACCATGAGTCGAGGTAAGAACTGCACTCCGACACAGACCTGAGTATAACACTTACATGTGATCATAACATCTTTACTCACAGGCTTAGCCAGCAGATGTGGTTGAGGCGGTGTTAGTACATTAAGAAAGTAACTACTCTTGAATCAATCATTGACCACGGTGACCACATGCGTCTCCGGTAAATCTGTCACCAGCAGCTATGTTTGTGTTCTGAATCTACAAACCAGTCAGCACCCTCGGTACCACGACAGACAATGGTACCAAATCCAATCGTAAAGGCTTTTACGTCATTCATACAGACAATACATCTGTTATACAGCAATACATCGGCTCTATAGCAATACATCGGCTCTATAGCAATACATCGGCTATATAAGCCCCAACCTCACATTAATATGAACATCTATGCCTCCTATATGTCGTCCTATGAAACATGGGCTATGTCGTCCCATGTGGACTCCTCGACTGAACTGATGTCTGACTGTTGCGTATCAAGTCAGTCTTTGTTTGTTTATTTGTTTGTTTGTTTGTTTGTTTGTTATTTAACACCGCCCTCATCTATTTTCTAACTATATGCCGGCGGTCTGTAAATAATGGAGCCTGGACCAGACAATTCAGTGATCGACATCGTGAACACCGATCCACGCAATTGGGATACGATGACATGAATCATCGAGCCTGACCACCCGATCAATTATTTTTAAGTCAGTGTGGTCGACTCCTTTAGTGTTAACACTGGGTTTCCATTCCTCCCATGCCTGTGTGATCAGTCACGCTGGCGTCGTGCAGCACGAGCGGCACACAGCTGTGAGTTGCAGGTTGCTACAACAAACGATCTTTGAGTAATCCATAACTCCATTATTAAATGAACACAGTGTAGCATTATCTCACTGCCCCCGATAAAACAATGATCCCCCTACACACACACACACACACACTTTAATAGCGAAGGTCCGAGTCGAGACGCACTGGCCTCCGTGTCAAAGATCCACTCGTTCTGTTGCAGTGTTAACAGGCGAGGTAGGCTTGGAGGGGAGGGGAGATCGAGCCAAGACATGGCAGCGCATCACATTGTTTAACCCCCATGTCAAGAAAAGCGAAGGTGTTTTAACGCTTTTCTACTTATTCCCAGAATGATTCATATGTATTGAAACATTTCGAATGTTGTTTGTTTATTAGGAAGAATAATTTATATTGACCAACATTGTGCAGCATCACTTAGTCGCATACTGTACACTGTACCAGCTGATTGTTGTGATGACGGAGAGAACAACTCAGGAAGGACGTGTTTATATTCGTGACATCTTCATGTCAGTGTTTGGTCTTCACTACATCAACAGTCTATCATCAGAGCTCGTTCTGTCAAGCTTTGGTAATAAGGACGTCGATGTTGATGTCGCCGCTACATGAACTGCCCACGTTGTTAACATCCTGGACGGCATCTACAGATCTCAAACCGTGTAGCAGTCTGTATGTGCCTGATGTAGTGGTTTCTGGTCGCTATTTCTAACAGTATATCCTTTTCCAATGTAGCAGTGATGAGGCCGCATGTGATAGAAGGCAGGCATTGTGTGGATGGAGGGATAATTAGCCTCAGGGGAGAGTCGTTTTACGCTGGACAGGAATGTCAACTATATCAATATCATGAATGATTAACGCCAGTTGTCCTTGCAATCACCTCGCACGCTGGACCGTATCACGACATAGTTGTTTGGCCCGAGGACCGTATCACGACATACGACATAGTTGTTTTGATCAGAGGACAGTATCGCGACATAGTTGTTTTGGCCCGAGGACCGTATCACGACATAGTTGTTTTGATCGGAGGACCGTATCGCGACATAGTTGCTTTGGCCCGAGGACCGTATCAAGACATACGACATAGTTGTTTTGGCCCGAGATATTTATCACGACATAGTTGCTTTGGCCCGAGGACCGTATCACGACATACGACATAGTTGTTTTGGCCCGAGGTACGTATCGCGACATAGTTGCATTGGCCCGAGGACCGTATCAAGACATACGACATAGTTGTTTTGGCCCGAGATATATATCACGACATAGTTGCTTTGGCCCGAGGACCGTATCACGACATACGACATAGTTGCTTTGGCCCGAGGACCGTATCACGACATACGACATAGTTGTTTTGACCCGAGGTACGTATCACGACATGGTTGTTTTGACCCGAGGTACGAGGAGAGTCGTTTTACGCTGAAAAAAAAAGGTCAACTATATCAATATCATGAATGATTAACGCCAGTTGTCCTTGCAATCACCTCGCACGCTGGACCGTATCGCGACATAGTTGCATTGGCCCGAGGACCGTATCAAGACATACGACATAGTTGCTTTGGCCCGAGGACCGTATCACGACATACGACATAGTTGTTTTGACCCGAGGTACGTATCACAACATAGTTGTTTTGACCCGAGGTACGAGGAGAGTCGTTTTACGCTGGACAGAAATGTCAACTATATCAATATCATGAATGATTAACGCCAGTTGTCCTTGCAATCACCTCGCACGCTGGACCGTATCAAGACATAGTTGCTTTGGCCCGAGGACCGTATCAAGACATACGATATAGTTGTTTTGATCAGAGGACCGTATCACGACATACGACATAGTTGATTTGATCAGAGGACCGTATCACGATATACGACATAGTTGATTCGATCAGTGGACCGTATCACGACATACGAGTTAGTTGATTTGATCAGAGGACCGTATCACGATATACGACATAGTTGATTTGATCAGAGGACCGTATCACGATATACGAGTTAGTTGTTTTGATCAGAGGACCGTATCACGACATACGAGTTAGTTGCTTTGATCAGAGGACCGTATCACGACATACGAGTTAGTTGATTTGATCAGAGGACCGTATCACGACATACGAGTTAGTTGATTTGATCAGAGGACCGTATCACGATATACGAGTTAGTTGATTTGATCAGAGGACCGTATCACGACACACGAGTTAGTTGATTTGATCAGAGGACCGTATCACGACATACGAGTTAGTTGATTTGATCAGAGGACCGTATCACGACATACGAGTTAGTTGATTTGATCAGAGGACCGTATCACGACATACGAGTTAGTTGATTTGATCAGAGGACCGTATCACGACATACGAGTTAGTTGATTTGATCAGAGGACCGTATCACGATATACGAGTTAGTTGATTTGATCAGAGGACCGTATCACGATATACGAGTTAGTTGATTTGATCAGAGGACATCTTGATGTGCGGCATGTCTGTGGTCTGGTGAAACAGGTGCTGGCGTTTAACAACCAGAGGTCAGCCTCGGGCACTAGAACAGCACCTTCATGTATAGTGTGGTGCGAATGTTATACCAGCACATTAAAGTACTTCATTAAAAGGCATATGTGGTGCTCTTTAATATTTCATGCATGTGTTTCCAAGCGAGTGTTTTATTGCTGGCGACATATTGTACATGTAAACACAATGTGAATTGATCGGGAGAACGAGATGACTCTAACCAACGGAGACCTGCTGGGCTTCTCCTGGACTCGCGACACGGAATAACACATACAGGATAATTCTGGCGGCCTAGGGATTTTAGATCAGTACACAAAAACATTACACACAAAACTATTTCTTTCTTTTTGTCATATTACATGTTTATGTTATTGAGTGGACATGCTGGTGTTTTCCTGAGTGACGCAAGCAATCAAAACTAAACCAGGAGATGAGATAAACATGTAATTTGACAAAATAGAAATAGTTTTGTGTGAAACTAGTCCCGACATGAAGTGGTGTTTCACTCGCCTTTCACTGGTCAGATAAGTATAGCAGTTTATCACTCCAGCCATTGTACAGAGTCGGACGCACAGACAGCACGAGAGCCGTGTACAAGGGACCCGCATGGTCTGTTGTCTCGTACAATGGACCCGCATGCTCTATTGCCGCGTACAAGGGACCCGCATGCTCTGTTGCCGCGTACAAGGGACCCGCATGCTCTATTGCCGCGTACAAGGGACCCGCATGCTCTATTGCCGCGTACAAGGGACCCGCATGCTCTATTGCCGCGTACAAGGAACCCGCATGCTCCATTGCCGCGTACAAGGGACCCGCATGCTCTGTTGTCGCGTACAAGGGACCCGCATGCTCTATTGCCGCGTACAAGGGACCCGCATGCTCCATTGCCGCGTACAAGGGACCCGCATGCTCTATTGCCGCGTACAAGGGACCCGCATGCTCTATTGCCGTGTAAACCTCTGCACGAACGTTATTCCGCAGTCAGATTCGTCATTCTGGAAAATCTGTTTATCAGGATTATCCAGGCTAGGTGAAAAAGCACCACTGACAATAGAGAGTTAAAACTATCTGGAAAACGCCTAAACAATGGATGGTTAAAACTATCAGGGGAAATGCCGTGCATTGAGTCTATATTGTGTGCGACAATAAAACAACAACATTTCCACTTGACAAATAACCGATTACTTTGATAATTTACTTTGCGGTCGATATCAAAACACAATTGGTTTTGTTTGATTACCAGTGGCCCTATTGTCCTCAATAGATGCATAAATAATGCATGCACACAATAGATGCATAAATAATGCATGCACGCACACGACAGAAAACGAATACGACAAAAAAAGGACGGTGATTGTGGAACGAAACTGTGTCATCTTTAAACCAACTTTCTCTGAACATTTCAGACTTACCTAACTGTGATACTACTGTACTTACCTAACTGTGACACTGATGCATTCGCCTAACTGTGATACTACTGTACTTACCTAACTGTGACACTGGTGTACTTACCTAACTGTGACACTGATGCATTCACCTAACTGTGACACTGATGCATTCACCTAACTGTGATACTGATGCCTTCACCTAACTGTGACACTGATGCATTCACCTTACTGTGATACTACTGTACTTACCTAACTTTGACACTGATGCATTCACCTAAATGTGA